GAGAGCTGAAGTTTGACCTGCATGATAATGGCAATGGTTAGTGAGAGAGTTACATAACTAGGAGGTAGTTTGTGATTTTGCTGTGTTGCATTTTCTGTGTTGATCTTCCTTTTCTCTCTTTTCCTCGCATACTTTTCTCAAGTTTGAATGTATGATGAGCTCTAACGACATATTGGCTCACAGAAAGGTATTGCCAAAGCTGTTGTGTATTATTCATTTAGATAATAATGAGGCCTGGTTTTGCTAAAACATTTGCCCTCAACAATACTTACGAAACAATTAATACAGGTGATACATTTCCAGATTGAAAAAGAATAACACAAATTGAGGGTAGTGCTAATAACTTTATAATATTAAGTAATATGTTTTAGATTTATAAGGAAAATTAGTTCAGCACATGTGAGGAATTTTTTTAATTGTATCTTTCATTTTAATTAATCTTTAATCTTGTGTAAATAATATGTGCTGTCCTGTTTTTCAATTTCACCCTGTTGCTGTTTAAACTACTGAATTATCCCATGGGGATTGATAAACGTCCATCTTATCTTATATGTGTCCATTGCTCATTTTCTGTTCCTAAGTTATGTCATATGTAATGGCTTGATGAAATTGTGCTTTTTGGAGAGTCTCAGGTGCATGAATCAGCATTTTATACAAACATTGTTCATTGATGGGGTCGCTTTAATAGCTCATACTGTACATGGCTGTTGTTGGTCTCTGACGTAGATGCAGGCAGGTGCACACACGGTTGTGTTCGTCCAACCGAGCTATTGTTGGACGGTCTGATGCTGGTCTTGTTGTATGCAGCCAGTGAACCCAGAGCCTGCAGAGCACTCCAAGAACTTTGCAACGCTGCACTTTCCTCAGTCCTTGGACGCCGACACTTATGATGCATTTTCAACGAGAAAAACAGCCCGTTAGTTGCAGTGAATCTTTTGCAGGAAAGCCAAGTCATAGAAAGCTTCAGTGGAATTCCCTTCTGAGGACAGTTGCCTTCTGGTGCATTTGTTCTGCTTATGAAAAAAAAATGTCTCGTCTACAAACAAAGATACAAATAGAGAACAAAGGCAGCATAAGGAAGGACATGCTTATGAAGCCAAACAAGCCCACAAGGGAGCATGGACTGCCCTCTGAGCCTCCTGTGAAACATCTGAACTAATTGAATCTCATAAATAAAAGCAAAAAGCTAATAATGTGCGGATAAATACACTGATTTGACATGAAAATGGACAGAGATATTTAAGTTTAGTATAAAATACAGTAATAACACAAGCCCTAAATACCAAGGGACTTCTTTCATGTGTAACTCTGTCTTGTAGTGTGGATATTGAGAGAAGCATTAGCCAGACGAGCTAGGTCAGGGTGCAATACTGCAAGAGATACTGACTGCTCCCTTTTTACACGCACGCACGCACGCACGCACGCGCACGCGCACACACGCACGCACACGCGCGCGCACGTTGCTTAACCCTCTGAAGGCCACACTTTGAACAGAATGTAACAGGTTCTTAACTACAGGAAACCTATGAGACTTTCAATTAATTTTCTGTATGCCAGACATTCAAATGTTATTAACGTTAACCTTATCTGGTGTTATCCAGCAACCAAATGAGTGCAGTCTAAATCCCAACAACAGGGACAGGCTCAGTTTACTTTATAAAGCATTTGTTCAAGGACTGACACCCTCTGGCGTTGTCGAACATCTAAACTGGCTCCTGAAGCTTTATTATAGAGAGCAATGCTGGGTTAATTGGTAATTTGAAAATATAAAATATAGTATGAAATAAAAGCAGTATGAAAGGGGCTGGGCAAAGGGGCTGGGCATGGTTTCATAGGTGCAAATGGACACACAACCACACACACGGAAACACACACCCAAGCTGCCAGTTTTATTGAGTGTGTGGTGTGACGGACAGGGAACTGAATCCTAGGCTGCTGAGTAGGAGGAAAAACCTGCAGTTTTGTGTTTGTGTGTTTGTGTGTGTGGGTAGATATTTGGTACAATTTTCCACAAGATGAAACCAGGTGAAAGCTTTGTCCCTGTATTCTTTCAAAACCTGAAATTGAAAGATATATTTTAATTTATGAGAGGAGGCAGTTTAATAGACTGCACTGTATAATATATTGCATAAGAGTGGTAAGAGGTAATGATTTTATGGGTGTTTAAAGCAGGTGAATGACTTCCAGAATGACTATTTCTAAGAAGCATGTACTTAATGTGCTTCATGTATTTCATTGGTTCGTGTGGTGCCTTATCGTCTGCGCTAGGTGTTAGCCTCTGGGCAGAGTATGTGTTTGGTGTGTGTGTGTGAGAGTATCTTTGTATGTGTCAATGAGTTTGTGTGTGTCTTTCTCTCTCTGTCTGCGGCTAATCTCACATGTCATTCCTAATATTTTGTTGTGTCCATTTATGAATGTATGTTCGAAAACCTCTCCATGTTATTGACTGTTTTATACCATACTGGATAGTGGACTCCTCTAAAAAGGCTGTCAGGGGCCACTAGTGGTCAACAACTTCAGAAGCAAAAGCAATTTTAGCCAGGCTAAATAATTGCCTTACCTTTCTAAACATTTGAGCCTTTTTCATTGCTCAAATCTGCCATCCAAAGTGCTCTCTTGAACCAGAGTGTCTGCAGATGAATCCCTCCCCTCATATGTTCTGATCCACCAAAGCATTGCCCTATAAGAGATATATTCATCTCTATTTGTGTAATCATCGTTTCCATCTTGACTTTAAGCGAGGGACAGTGTTGTGACACTGATAAGAGTGGATACATTTACAATCCTAATAAAGTTTTTAATCTACCAATAATATTTTAAGCCATTTTGTACACAGAAACTGAAACACGTGTTGGTATATTGACCAAAATGGAAATATTTAGAAAGCTTGCATTGATAATATTGTGTACTTATTTTTCAATTTGATTTTCTTCAGATATTTCCTGATTTTAAATAATTTTTAATGATTGCATTTTCAATATTTAACTCAAAGTTGAGCATGTTTAAAGCAACATCGACTTAAATGGGTGATGAGTTTCATTTGAATTCACATTCAGGTAACATCCTGTACAGCATGACGGTCACAAGTCAGAGAGCATGAAGCAGACGGTATGCTGATCTTGTGAATGACAACACTCTCTCAAATACACACAGCTTATTGTACATATACTTTTTGATAACAACATGTTATATAATTACTGTGCCTTCTCTGCTAAAGCTGTGTTATCAAGGTATTCATCTTGTGTGTTCAAGTCTTTTGTTCTACTCTCTGTTTTGTTAGTGTGTGTATGAGTTTTTATCCTGTATGTATTTATTTGTATACAAGATGTTATACAGGTTTCACATGCCTGCATGCCCGCGTGAGAGTGTGTTTATTGAGTTTGTCTGAACTTGGAACAAACAAGATAAAGTGTGCTTTAGTATCATGCCTGTCCCCAGGGCCTCGTTGTCACATGACCTAATTTTGTGTTGCCAAGACGATACCTTGTGTCAGGGTTCAACCTAATGCTCCGATCCGGCCCGTGACCTTGGTACGTGTTTTTGTCGCTATGGTAACAGCCTCCGGGGCTACTGTAAGTGAGACGAGTACGCTTGACGCTCGCATGGAGCATTTAGTTCTGTGCTTGAGCATCAAATGAGGCACTTTGCTACATTTATTTACCAAGAGAAGATTAACTCGCTCCATTACAGGAACACCCTGCAACAAGGTCATAAAAATAGATTTACACCTGCGTGACACATGATACCAGAGTCTTATGCTCCAAGCTACTGCAAAATCACTGGAGTAGTTTGATATGAGGAGCTTTGCATTGTAGTTGTAAACGGAAGATTAGGGAGTGCTGAAACTCTTAAGTGTTTAACTCACTTCTTAAATAGTATTTATGTTCTTTAATTATGATAATCCAGAGTAGAAAAAAGAGAAGTGGGGTACTGTTGTAAGAGAAGTGTTTTAACAGGACACAAATACATTGTATTTATGAGTTTATTATTATGGTCAACTAACAGTTTATATAAAAGAGCTTTATGGAACTGCATTGAATCAGTGTGTCACATGTTTATCTGTGCTTTTAAGGAAAACACATTAACCACTTTAGCTCAGAATTCAATTTAACATTAATTCTCCATCAGGCTAAGAACCAAACATCAGAAAAACCAACAACAACATTTTGTTTCTAGAACAATACTAGTTTGCTTTCCATTTAATCATATTTGCTCCCAGTTTACCGGAGGCATTTGGTCAAAGGGAGACATTGTCCTCACCAGATAGTTAACAAAGTTTATGAAAGAGACCTTAATGCCTCCTAATGTTTTTCTTTTTTCTCTCTGAGGAGGACACACGCCTCAAAGCAGTGTCTCATGCGGGTAAACAAAGCGTGGTTGCCATGCCGATAGGGCGTTGGTATATAAATAGCATGGGTGTTTGTTCTGAATAATCCTGAGAGAGAGAAAGAGGTAGGGAGTTGCAGGGAGACAGTGATAACTACAGTTAAAAATCTAAAAGTACAGACAATTACAGACGCACATGCATTATAACAGACCTGTAAGAAAAAAAAGATTTCGTCCACTATCAGATACTAACATACAGATGTTACTTTTAAACCTTGTGCTCTGGGGGACTCTGTCAGGTCAAGCCTATGTTTGCAATTAATGTGCATCCAAAAGGCAACAGTTTGCTTCTCTTATAAGAGAATTAAGAGAGTGTTGGTATAGCTAAATGTTGCAAAAAGCACACCCATTGATGTTGCTTTTATGTTTTTCATCAATGTCAGTGTTGAAATATTAATAAACCATCTTGGTAACATTATAGAGCTAACTGAACAGATGAATACATTCTTCATTTGGAAAATAACATTTGGCTAAAGGTTAAGCTGATGATTGTTATCACATAGCAGGGGTTCTGCTTATTATGCAGTGATAATTGAGCTATTGTAGAAGAATAAAAAGCCATATCAGGAACACTTAGAAAATGGTGTTAATGTTTCCGCTGTGTCTCCCTGTAGGGAATGGTGACAGAGCCTGCAGACAGACAGACGTGGACAGACAGGCATCCGGAGTGCTGCCCTCCCATTGGTGGAGAGATCCAGACTTCACAGCAGGAAGTGCAGCTCCAGTCGGTTGGCAGCTCTCCACTGAGCAGCAGGCCCCACCTCCTCCACCCAGGAAGCTCTGCCCCCCCGCTCAGGTAGGGAGAAGGCAGAAAGAGTCTAACCCATAATATGTGTTTGGTTCAGATCAGATAATCACATACGCCCCTTTCACACCAACGCAGTTCCCGTTCTAGCTCCGTGCTCATGCTTTTCTGGTTCGGAACCGGTTCTTCTTTTCAGCCCCCTTTTTGTTCACACCGCCCAGAGCCAGACTGGTGCTGCCACTGCTGCACCATGACGTCACCGTTTACGTCGCTGATTTTCTCCCCAACGGCGCTCACTACAACAACAGTGGGGGACTGCGTCGGGTCGATGATCGTGTTGGTTTTAATCATGACTACTTGTTGCTATCCTATTGTGGCATAAGCCGTTTTCTACAGGCACATTTTACCGGCGTAATTTTTCATTATGATTCTACTTGTGATAGTCGGACATGACAACCTGTGCAGCCCATGTATTGATTCCATCCGATAGCCTGCTCTCCACAATGATAGATAACAGCAAACGGATGGTCAAAGTAAGGTACAAATAAACAGAATCACACGAAGCCTGGTTAGTGTTGCCTGACTTTATAAAGTGTGTGTGTGGTTGCTTTCTAGTCACTTTGCTCAGCGCTACTGCTTGTTACAACTTTTATTTGCCGTACTCGCCTTTAACTGTTAGCTCAGGTTAATCTCGCCCCCCTCCGACATAAGCGTGACATATGCGGTTCCTGCTTCTAGACCGACAATGTTTTGGTGCTTGAAACAAACCGGATTCCGGAGCTTAGAGCTGGCTCCGCTGGGGTGTGAACAGGAAAAACCAGTGCTTTTCAGGCTCTAGCTCCGAACCGGCCCTGGAACCACATTGGTGTTAAAGGGGCAACAAACGTTTGGTTAGTTTGTCCAACCAACAATCAAACTCTGCATTCACATCACAAACAAACCGCAGCACAGTGGAGCTTTTGTGATAACAAAACATAAACTGCTAATTTTAAACTACAGTATTTACATAGTGGTCATATAAGCTTGCATAAGAGATTGAAATACTAATGCAAGATCATTTGGTAACCAGGCATTTCCATAATAATTAAATTTCCCTGATCAATCAGACTGCCAATAGGAGTTGTAACTTTGCTGACAGATCATATTTCAATTATTTTGTCAAAAAGCCATGGAATCAAGTGACCACAGAGTGATTATGCAATGAGTACAAGACGCTTCTTTTTCAGCTGTTTCTACATTTAAAAAATGTTTTTATTACATACAAACTCTAGTTGTAGTGTTGCGAAAGTACTTTCTTTTCATGAGCTCTTTCATGTGACACCAGATAAAAACATGAGATGCAGCGAGGTGTTGCATGACATGCTGTGGATGAGCAGAATAACAGATGTGAAAGGGACTGTAGATCAGCAGACTTAACTGACTTTTCTTCACAACAATGAGAGGCATTATCACATTGTTTTCAGATGATCCACTGACAAGAGAAAGAGAACATTATTAGATTGGTAAACCCAGCACTAGTTATCTTATCTGCTTTAGATCTGCAAAGAAGACCAACAAATAATTGCCATGGATTAATCATTAAACATATTTTTCATACAAAAGGCAGATGTGTTCATCCCTATCCCATATGGAGATGTCCTGCTTTTCTTTGCTTTACAGTATATCATGAAACCCAAAGTCTCTCGGTGTTGTACTGACAAAAATAAATAAATGTAAAGACAGGGATGGACATATTTCACAGTTATTTGACATTTTATAGAACAAATGATCGTCATATTAATCCATAATTTAATATAGTTTTGGCTGCAGTTAGCTGTCAGTGTTGGAGTTGTAACATAGCATAGTCAGAAGAACTGATGTGTGTTTGTGTCTGTGTTTTCCTGTAGAGGATAAACTTGTCTGGGCCTGTCTGAGCTCCCCCCCCCCTCTCTTCCTCCATGTGATTTGTCTGATTGTATCCTTTGCTTTCCTGACCTTCCCACTGATGTCTTCTCTCCCTCTAAACTCCCTCCATTTCACTTAGTCTCTATCCTCTCTTTATCTGAGCTGCCTCCTCTCTTCCTTCTCTCTGTTTCCTCACCCTCCACACATCAGCCCTTTATCTCCGTCTCACCAGCTGTGTGCTGCAGCTCTCCTATGGGGGAGAGTAGACTGAATAGAGGGGCTTACTGAGGACACTGAGAAAGCCAATCCCTGCCTTTTCGTCTCCTCTCTCATGTCCTTTCCTCTGTCCTAAGACTCGGCTGTGACCAATCCCGTGTCCTCTGCTTTCTGCTGCTCGTTGTGCCTTCAGCATCTCAGATTTTGAAGCATTTCAAGACAGGATATGAGGTAAAGATATTTCACAAAAACAGAAAATACAGGCTGGATGTTTTTACACATTTCCATGAATTTACAGATATTCAGACGATGAATTGGTTCAAATAAATCACTAAACTCAAAGAGAAGTGTCTTTGGAGTCTCTTACGAGTTGCAGCTGCTTTTGACGAAACATTATTTTGTTTATACCCTTCAGAAATATATGGTTACACTTGACTCACCAACAGCATCATTAGATTTGCTGCCAGCCTGCCTGGGGACTTATCTTCATAACTATACAAATATGTTTTGAAGTACAGACTAATTAGTTAATTAAATTAATGATGTACCAATTCAGAGAGGGGAGGTGTACATTTAGGAGAGCTTCTGAGAGAAAGTGTAAAGGAAAGGTAATATACAGATGAAAGAAGGGAGATAAATAAATGAAATTTCAGAATATAAAGTAGTCTTATACATTTTGTTTTTGTTTCTTTCTCACTCACAAAGATCCCACCTTTCCTTGCCCTCCGTCTCTCCTCCCTGTCTCCTCCTTTATTCACCCGTCACTCTTGCAGAATGGTGATTACACATTTACACTCCCGGCTTCTTTCTGCCTTCATTCGCTTTTGTAAATGTACCGTTGACAGTTGTTTTTCTCTGAGCAGAACGCCTCAGAAATGAGCAGATGGAGGGCTGACAGTCAAACAATGACGCTGGGCGGTAATTCCCCGTGATCAACACATGTCAGAAAATGGCTGTTAATGGAGGGACCATATAGAGTCGGTCAGCCTCCTCTATAGGGGATGGATCCATATTTGTCTAAGTGCCTGTTGAAGATGTAGTCAGAATACAATCACTTAAGCTTTAACAAAAGCGTCAGGATGTTCGGCATGTGCCTTATGTTCTCTCCTCATGGCTTACAATAAGTGAAACTGTAGAATAAGCTTATGTTACAAGAGACAGAGCTCACTGCATGTCATACATACATATTACACTTTCCCTTTGAATGTGAGTAAAGGTAGTGCTCCTCGAGTGTGTTAAAGGTCAATCCTGCTTGTATGAGTGCGTGTTAATTAGACTCTGGTAAACAATGCATGGCATGACTATTAAACTTGTCTGTTTTTTGTTCTTTTTAACTTTAGGGAAAGAACTATTTTACTTTTTGTGTAAAGCACGGTAATACAAAGATTATCCAGAAGACTATTTATCTTATATTGGTTCATCGCACAATGTCTATACTTAGGGGGAAAATTACATGTCAATATTGTATTATTGACATATGGTTGTAGACTGGGATTGCTGTTTTCAGCCACATTTGAACAAATATTACTATTTTAAAGAATGGGGTGATTAAACAAATATAATTAAATGGTGGTTAAATGTGCAATTATGATAATTTAGTGTAAGTTAGTTGAGTTATTTAATGGTCAGTAACAGGTTTGCCCAGCCATGTTTTTCAAATTATTTACACAAATGTCTGGGAATATGTTACTAAGTGTACTGGGGCCGTATTCACAAAGGATTTTATCTTACCGCTAGGAGTGCTCCTAACTCGCGCTAAAACATTTTACGTAGGAGTTTTTTCTTAAAAGTTATTCACAAAGCCGCTGAGACCTACTCATACTAAGGATAAATCACTAAGAGTGAACTAAGAGTGACGCGCCGTTGCTATGGATGACGTCGATTCTCGTGCATGAGTTTAGAAGCGGTCAGTACGGTGATTGGTTGTTCAGAGTAGGCGGTCTCGGTGAAACTCATCCGCAACATCCCACAAACGAGCCCACTAAATCACCGAAAAACAAGGAAATAGCCTAGGCTAGAAATGTATTCCTATCAAATAGTTATGGACAGTGCAGTTAGCAGAATACACGCATGATGATAAGTTTGTGCAGACCACGATAATGACGTTGTATATGCACGTTAAAGAGAGAGAGCAAACAATAAAAATACGTAAATTGCATTAAATCGAGGAGGCAATTAAAAGCACCCTGCAAACTATTATCCAATGAGCATATTTCCAGCACTTAAACACTTTCAATAACAGCCC